CACAGGTCGAAGGAGTCCCACGTAGTAGAGGGGCGCACGCTCATTGCGACGATGCCCCGTCTGCTTGCGTGCTTGAGGACAGGGGGGATCTGCCGGAAGTCGCCGTCACACACCACCGTCTTGGGTGCGTACTCTTCAACGTGAGTTTGTCGAAGGACGTCGAGAAACCGAACGACGGCTTCCCAGGCAGCGCGTTTGACGCAGGGCCACTCGTCCCACTGGATGACGGCAGCGCGAGCGAGACGCAGGGCGTCTGCAGTTTGCAGACCGAGCGTGCAAGTGAGCGGGTCTTCGTCAGAGAGAGGGATCTTGAATGTGGAATGAGCGGTGGCGCCGGCGGGGAGAAGCAGGGCCGCTTGGCCGGTAGTGGCAACGTTGACGCACGACTTGCCGTTGTGTTCTGTGTATTGGTGGATGTACTTCGCTATGGTTGACTTCCCTATGCCGGCAGCGCCGTGGACGAAAATGAACTTGGACTGGAGAGCGTCAATGCTGGCAACGATAGCGGTCGTGGCCGCGCGCTGGCGCGGGTCCTTACGCAGGAGAGCACGCAAGTCTTGGCAGCGGAGAGCGCGGGGCGTCGCCGCGGCGGGCGAGGCGGCAGGCGCGGGAACAGCCAAGAAATTGAGCACCTCGGGTCGGTCCTGCGCGGCCGCGGCCACGCGCAAAGAGCGCTGCAATTCCTCGCGGGCCGCGGTGAAAGCGAGGCCTCTGTCCAAGAAGTCCTTGAGCAAGTGTTTCTCGAAGTTGTTGTACAACGTGACTGGCGCCGCGTCGAGGTCGAGGAGGACGACGAACGCGAATCGTAATTGGTGCGCGGTGTAGCGCAAGTCGACGAGTTCTTGGAGTACTCGGGAGGCCTCGTCATCTTTCGCGAACATGCCTGTCGCGAGCATGGCCTCCTCGTACGTGGGATATTCGCGGCCATGGTGGCAGAGGCAATCCTGGAAGCTCTGTTTGGGGAAGTGTAGGAGCATCTGTCGGAGGTAGAAGATTTCCTTCTGGCGGGGGCACTTCATCTCCAATCGACACACGGGCGTTTCACCGTGGCTCCGGACGTACACGCAGTTCTGGCGACCTCCAGGCGCCATGTAAACGCATGGTCGGACGGCAATGTCTTTGGGGATGCGATGCCACCGTTGGGACAGAACTGGCCAATCGCGCTCGGGGGGCACGGCGAGGTGAGTGCCGAACGTCTCAGGGAAAAAGCATCGGAAGCTCACGGGGCAGACCTTGCCGACAATGAACCATTCGAAATACTCGTTGTACTTGCAACTCTTGAAAGGCTCATGCATGGGTCGGTAGAAGTAGCGCTGGAGCTGTGACGTGCTGTGGCCCAGCGCATCTGCCTCGAAACCTTCGGAGAATGCAACCCAGTCCTCGTCAGGAAGGTGCACGGGTAAGCATGAAACTGTTGGGACGCGGTCGTAGGCGGTGTACCCGAAGATTCCCCGCGCGCACTCGGTGGCCACAAGGTAGCGCCCGCGGAGCCAATCCGTAATTTCATCCACTGGTTGATCGTCTGATCCAATGGAGCACAGCGTGTGGCCCGGACCCTTGAACAGATATTTGAATCGGTATTCGAACAGATTGACAGACCCTGCGAACTTCACGTTTGCATGGCCGTCCCACTTCAGGAGTACTCGACGACGAGCCGATTGCAACATACGTTTCGGCGGCCGTAGGCGGGGCCATTGGACTGGCAGTTCGGGCAGGTGCGATTGCACGGGCGCCGGCGATGATGCGGGTAGCCTCGTGCGTCGAACTCGGTGGAGTCCTGGAAATGCCATGGGCAGCCCTTGATGCATTCCTGCTCGGGGTCGTCGGGGCGGCAGGAAGCATTGCACCGATGGATCATGTGAGAGAGAACGGCTTCGCGTAGTGGGCCAGGAGTTGCAGGGGCGGGTTGTCGACGGCGAGGGCGATGTGCGCGCGCGGCAAGCCACGCATCTGGCATTCGATCACGCGAATGATGCACCGGCGGCGCCCGCAGAAGTCATTCTTCAAGAATGCGATCATTTCCAAGAGTCTGGCGTGGAAGACGCGGACGACGACGTCTGGTCGATCAGCAGCCGATTGTCCTGGAAGAAGAGCGGCACGTATCTCAAGCCAATGCGGATTGCACGTGAGCGCGATAAAAAACGTGGCCGGCCCTTTCCGGCGAGCCAGTTCCAAACAATCGATGCGGAGTCGTCGGAGATGGCGAGGGGAGCCCGGGGCGCTGGAAGGGAGCACAACCCGAACGCCCGTGGCAGGTTGGCCAGAACTGTCGGCAAGAGTCTCGCACAGGTGACGCCGGGATGCCCGCATCGTTGGCTGCTCTCGGCGAAGTAAGCTCAAGCGCTCGTCCTCCATGCGGCAGTACATATTCACGAGTCATTCGTTGAGCAACCGCCCGCACGCGCGCATGTGGCTGAGGCGAAGCAGGCACTGCCGGTACCACCACATTTGACTGATGTGGCCGCCGTTGACCTGCGCATCGGGACTCCATCCGCGTCCTACAGCAGTGAACCACAAAGGGTAGGATAATGGCTCGTAGAAAGGGTACAGGGGGTGAAGATACCGAGGTGCACTCGTGGAGTGCAGCCGGAATGTTACAGCGCGCGGTTCGGCGCGACTGTCGCCTTGGGCGTCGACGATGGCGGCAAGCTCATTGATGCCAGGGCCCCATTTGAAGTGGACAGCTGCGTCGGGGCCTGGGCGGCGCACTGCGCCTAGGCGTTTGACCTCGGTCATGAACGGATTCATGGACAGCAGGATGCGCTCCAGTAGTCGGAGGAGGTGCGCGTCGAGCTGTAGCGTGGCAGCCTGGCGGGCCCTTTCCTGAGGGTCGACGAAGAGGTAACGCACTGCTGCTGTGGAAACTTGCGCTGAAAGGAGGCGTCGGCACACGGTGCCGTGCATGCGCAAGTTTGAAGGGCGCAAGTAGTTACCGAAGCGTAGCTCTGTAGTCGGACCGGCGCTCTGGGTCTCGTGGACTGCCAAAGCAAAAATGTTGTTATAGCGGCGGCTCGTGCTAGTGAAGCCCGTGAGGCGCGGGGCGTTCGTGGCAGGGTCGCGGAGGGGGTGCCCTTTCGCATCGGTGGCAGGCCAGGTGGAATGGTACACTTTGAGAAGAGCAGGGGGAGGCAAAGGGAAGAAGTCGCTGAAAGAAACTGCCAATTTGCCGCTGTTGCAACAGAACGTATACGGCTCGCAAGGAAACAACTGCGCCGAACAATGCGGGCAAGTCCGAGTCACGTCGCCGACCACGAAGGGTTCGTCGTGAAGGCGCGGGCGCCCGTTCGTGGCGCACTCCCGGCAAGCCCCTGCAGATCCCTGTTGATATTCGCCGAATGCGTCTCTGGGTAATGCGATGCCGCATCGGGCGCAGGTGTTTTCAAGTCGAGAGCGGGTGTGACCAGATGATTGGGGAGCGGTTCTTGCACAGTTGGTGCATATCCGGGCCGCGGGTTTGATTTGGCACTTACCAAACCGTTCCCGAGGGAGGTCGAGGTCGCAGCGGGAACAATGGAGCTCAGGGGCGCTGGGTCGGCCACGAGCAGCGCGCCGTTTGTGCACGGGCAAGGGTTGGCCGTCGCCCCCAGCACAACGTGCGTCACGTCTACGTCGGAAGTGCAGAGATGTGAGGATTGCAGTTGCAGCGCCACTCTGGAGCCATGCTTTCGAAGCAATCTTCTGAAAGCCAGAGAACATGGGATCGTCTGAGCCCAGACGGTTACGGAGAAGGGGAGTTCGCATGACCAACGAATGGCAATGGTTCAGTTTGGCGCCGGGCTTCCCGCGTGTCGGTTGGAACGTTTGGACCGTTTGGGCTGGACAAACGTGTTTCCAAAAGCGCATGCAAGGCCCAAAGGGGCGCAAGCCCAAAGCCTGACGGAGCCAGATGGGTTCCCACAGCTTGCGCGGATGGCATGGCTTGTCAAAGAGTTGGCCCGAAGAGGGCCCCGGGGGTGGTGAGAGCTGATGGGGAGCCCATGAACACCTATGCACTTCCACTGGGACATGTTCGGGGTGAGCGGAAGGGGTCCCCAATGGGTTGCCACAGCTTGCGTGGACGGGCCACGCGCCAGCCGACGTGCGTGTGATCTACGCGGGCCCTCTTGGGCCGTCTTGGGTCCGTCTTGGGAGCCCCATTGGGCCGTTGCGCAGCGAACTGAAGGGCGTCCAACGTCGATGGCATGGCCTGTCAAAGGTTTGACCCGAAGAGGGCCCCGGTCGGGTGAGAGCGCACGGGGAGTCCACGGGCACTTAGTCGCTTCCACTGAGACATGTTCGGGGGTCAACGATTTTTGCTCAGTGTGTGCATCTTCGGCTTTCCTGGGGGATGCTTCGAGGCCTTTTAGGCATCTTGGGGCCTCTTCGGGGCTTCTGCTGAGGGCAATATTGGTGCGAAATGTCTGAATTTCCAGTTCGTGGTCCTTCTCTCGGGCTTCTTGGGGCCGTCCTGAGGCTGTCTGGGCCTGTCTCGGCTGCTTCCTGGGCCGTCTCGGGGTCCTCTTGGAAGCTTCTGGGGCCGAATTGGGGCGCTCTTGGGGGCTGTTGGGCGGTCTTGGAGCGTCGAAAAGTTGAAAAGGCGGGAATGCTGAAATGCATCCAAAACGATCGTGAAATTGTTGATTTCGGCCTCTGGGTGCGCTCTCGGGAAGGTCCCTAGAAGCTCTTGGGGCAGATTGGAGAAAAAATGCGGGCCCCTCGGGAGAGACGGAGCGGCGGCAGCCCATCGGGAAAAAGGCAGCGAGCGCGACGAGGACTTTCATTCCATTTTCGCCGAGCTCGGGCCCACAACCCAGGCTGACTTGCGAAGGCGGGTGGCCGAGCACTGAGGACCGGGGCACGCCAGTTCTCTCAGCCGGCGGGCGCCCGAATCCAACTGTCTGGCCAGACCTGGATTCAAGATCCCACACTGCTGGAGTGTGAATCCCATAACTCCCCACTGGCAGGCCGAAGAAAAACACGCAGGCGCCGCCGACGGCGCCGAAAGATGCCAAGGGCGAGGCTCAGGCCAGAAAGGACAGCTGCCGAGCTTCTGCGCGCTTGGCCTCAGCCTTCACGGCCGTCGAGAGCCGCCTGAAGGAGGCGAGGGCGCGGCCGCTCTTCTGGCACCTCACCTCCCGCGGGCCTGGATGTCGGCCAGCGAGCGGGCACTTAGACGGTAGTCCTCGGACGGCCCGCCATGCCGTGGGAGGTGGGCAGTCACCTTGGGCGGCAGCACGACCGCGGAGGCCGCCTCCTTCAGCGTGCGGTTGTAGCTCGCCTAGGTGCGCAGGAACATGAGGCGGCCCTGCCGGGCCTTGTTGGCGGCTCGCACCAAGGCGACGAAGGCGCCAGCGACGCCGACGCGGGACTGGCCGTCGATGAGCACGGTGTCGTCCTGCAGGCCGGCCTTGGTGACACGCGAGTGGTTGTTGTCGCCCATGACCAACGCGGAGGCGCCGACGACCAGGCCCATCTAGTTGTAACCCGAGCCGGCGCTGGGCTGCGGCAAGAGGCAGCACGGGGCGAGGAGGTCGAGCAACTCGCCCGGGCGAAGGTGTCGAACTGGAGCACCAGCCCTCGGGCGGCCTGCATGACCTCCTCTGTCTGGAGCTTCGCCAAGTATTCGGCCATGAGGCACGCGGCCGCCCAGCACAGCGGCTCCGAGGTGACGTCCGACCCCAACTTGCCCCAGCCAGAGAGGGCGCCCTTTGCCAGAGGGAAGACGCTGGGAGCCCGAAGCGAGACGCCGAAGCGGTGGGCGAGCGCGGCCAGCGCGTAGCGGGCCGCGACCTTGCTGCCAGCCCCAAGGAAGAGCTGCTCGAAGTACTCCACCAGCAAAGCGTCCACGAGCGGCAGGTCCTTGCTCACCCAGCAGTCGGCGACGACCCCCATGGCGGCGGCGAAGGCCAGCACGCTGGCGGCGTAGCGCGCCTGCGTGGCAGGCCGCACCTGCGAGCGCCGCAGAAGCCCGGCGCTGTGTCAGCTGGCTGGCGCCTGGCCAGCGCGGCCGGCGGCCTGCCTCTGCCCCGCGCCCGGCCGCGCCCGCGGCCGCGGGCGGCCGAGCTGGCGGCCCCAGCCCTCGGCACGGAGCCAGAGCGGGACCCACTTCCGCGGGCAGCTGGGGCAGTCAAGGGGTGGCTGGACGTCGCCCAGCTTTACGGCGCGCCGGAGCTCAGCCACTCAGTGACCGGGCAGCAGCGGATCACCACCCTGCCGCCAGGCGGCTGCCGGCGCCGCGCGCCCCAGGGCACGGGCGGCGCTGTGGCAAACGCCAGGGGGGCAGGCGCCAGCGAGGGTCGTGCGCCAGTGCTGCTTGAGCCGACCCTGGTGGTCGCGGACCCTGACCTTGCCCTGGAGGTACTCATGAGCGTGGCCCCCAAGACACCGTCTCTCCAGTGACCCCAACTCCAGAACGTCGGACACAATGCGAGTGGGCTTCTGATACGGGGCTCCAAAGCGACAGCAGTCGTACACCACTGAGACCCGCCCATGCTCGGCCACGAACTCCCCGAGAGGTGCCCAAGCAAAGAGACGCGACCCACGCGGGTTCTCCAAAGACCAACGGATGCCACGTTGGACGCACAGTCGGAGAAGACGAAGTGTGACATGAGCGCATCGCCGACTGGCACGAATGGCCGACGCATCGTTGGCTCCACGACGGGCAACTGACAAGGGAGCACAGGGGGGCCCGAAGTGCACGAACCAGACCTTGCGAGACACGAACCATCTGCGCACGACGGACTCGATGCCGGGCCGAAGCAGCTTTCCCCAGGCCCCGAACTTGATGTCGATCGGGCAGGCGACGGCAAGACCGAGCAGCGCGAGAGCCCCCGCCAACCGAGCACAGCCTGCGAAGACCTCAAGAGCCGCACGACGTGCAGGAGGCCGAAGCGCAGGAGCCCGAGCCGGTCCGTCCGCGATATGGTCTGCTGCGGCGAAAGCAGCGGTAGCCCGCGATGCCCTCTCGCTCCTTTTCGGCCAGGTCGAGCGCCCAAACGATAAGCGCCTGCAGCAGGCGGACCGCGAGGCGTCGACCCGACGCGCGCGCGCGGCCCCGCCCGTCCACGCGTCGGGGCAGCCTCGGCCCGCGCCTGCCGCAGGCCCCCGCCGGTCTCGGCGGGGGCGGCGCGCGGGGCCGCGGCGCCAGGCGAGGCCGGCGCGGCGCTGGGGGCGGCGGATCGGGGGCCCCCTCGGCCTCCTCGAACCGCACCGCCCGCGGCGCGCCCGCAGGCCGCCCCAGCGACGGCGCCAGCGGGAAGCATGACTACGAGGGGCTGAATCCCTCTCCCCCTGGCCGCGAGCGCCCGCGGCGACAGCGGCAGCGCCGCCTCCCCTGGCGCGCGGCCCGCACCGCCCAACGGCACCAAGGCCTCGCGGCGGGAGGGGCGGCCGGGCCCGCGGGCGCACGCCTGAGCGGCGCGGGGCAAGCGGCGGCGGCCCGCCGACTCCGCCGGTGACGGGATCACCGCGGGCGCCAAGGCGAGACGCGGCGCCGCCGGCAGCGCGGCCGGGGGCCTCCTCCGCCGCCAGGGCCGCCAGCGGGGCGGGCGCGGCGTCGGGGGCCGGCCGCCCCGGCCAGCCTCCCACGCGCCGCTGCCCCGGGCCCCGCTCCGCGTCGAGGTGGCGCCGTCGCCAAGATCCCGCGGGCGATCTGGCGAGCGGCGGCGCGCCTGCGCAGGCAGGCGGGTCCGCGGCCCACGGCGCGGCCCTTCTCGACAGAGAGGAGCTCCGACATGTTATCCCCCAAGCTGGGCAGCCGCGAGTCGCGGCAATCGACCTGCCGCGCGACGTGCGCCGGGGCCCGCCCAGGGCGACGCGGCCCTCCAGCAAATGAATACGGCCGCCTCGCCGCCACGCCCCCTCGACGATGTGCGACCAGCCCTTGGGGTCTACGAGGTCATCGGGCACAGCGAGCCCTGCAGGCCTCGCAGTAGGCCAGACGCGGCCCTTGAGCACGCCGCGAGCGCCCCCCCTGGAGTGCGACGGGGGAGGCGCCCACACGGGCACGCCGGCGGCGCCCGGCGACTCGCCCAGCACGCCTCCGGCCCCAGGGACCCAGCCAGGCGCGAAGGCATCGCCGTGCGACGGGTCGGGCCGCTTCTCGTCGGGGACGAACCTCCACCTCTCACGGGTGGCCGCCAGCTCTCGCAGAAGCCGAACGTCGGCACGGCGGCGGTGAAGGGCGCGCCCGGCCTCGGAGGAGTCGGAGCACAAGACCAGCGAGGACATCGGCCGGTCCAGGAAGACGACGGCCTGGAAGATGAGCCCCCTGAACACCTGAATCTCCCGTCGAGGCTCTGGCGATCCACGAACCAGCGCAGCAGGTGGAAGACCGACAGGACGGGCCGGAGAAAGAGGCAGCGCTGCACGCAGTGCCCGAGGAACACGCGGATCTGCGAGGCCGCGCGTGGAGACCCAGACCGCTCGAGCTCCCGGCACGCCAGGTAGAGGCGCCAGGCCCGATGGTCCGCGTGCGGGAGCCGCCGTCGCCCCCCGTCGCACTGGACGCCGACGGCGGAGAAGTGGGCGGACGGCCCCTCGACTTCGCGGCACGCGATGCCGAGCGAGTCGAGCTCGAGCTTCGTCGCCTCCAGAGCGTCGCCGACGTCAGAGCTCGACAGGCCCTGGAATGCGACGTCGTCGACGTAGACCGAGCCAGTCGGCCGCGACGGCGCCGCCACAGGGGCTGGCTGCTTGCCATGTCAAGCACCAGGCGGGCACCACCAGGCAGCGCGTCCACGACCCAGCACGTGACGGACGAGCGCACGGCCCAGAGCGCCCAGGACCAGCCCATGGCGACCCCGCGGAAGACAAGGAAGACGAGCTCGTCGGGGTGGACAGGGGAGGAGCCCTCCGGGGACCAGATGTGGGCGACGCCATAGTCTGCGGCCCTCTCGGGGGAGTCCACCCCGAAGTCCTCGGCGACCCGCTCCGCGAAGAACTGGTAGAACGAATCCTGAAGGTCGAGGGGGGCCCCGAAGACCTAGAGCGGCGAGCCGTCGGGCGCCCGCCATCCAGCCTCGCCGAGGGCCGCATCGGACCAATCCTGCTCGCCGAGGGCGGCGCGGGCGCCCAGCGGGCGCGGTTGACGTCCCGAGCGTCGACCGCCGGGCGGATCCAGCCCCCCCTCTTCTCGACGAAGAAGCAGCCCACCCTCGACCCGATGCGCCGGCGTAAGCCGACGAGGCCGCGGTCTGCGAGCCCAAGCAGGAACTTCTTGCGGAGACGAGGGTCGCCAGCAAGCCGCACGCCCCAACACGGCGTGACCGGCGGCTCGAGAACGAGGCCCCGCTCAACCACGCGGTCGGGATTGCGAATGTAGGCGTCGGGGTCGCGGAAGGCGTCCGCGACGAACTTGGGACAGACCTCTTCCACGTCGCGAGGCGCGACGGTGGACCGTCAGAACTTGCGCTTGGACTCGTCGTAGGGCACGACCTTGCGCGGCGCGCCCCCGTAGAGCGAGTCAGACTTATTGAGGAACTCCTGCAGGGCTCCGCGAGAATGAAGGCCAGCCGGGCGAGGGGCATACTCCGCCACGCACCTGCCGAGCTGACGGAGGCACGAGGCTGAAGTCGCCGAGCCCGATGACCCTGAATCGGCGGCGCCGCCCGGCCCGCGGCCGGCCCTGCGCACCGCGCTGGAGGCGAGGCCGTTGATAGGACGGACAGCCTTTCGAACACGGCGTTCACGAGAGCGGCGCTGAAGGACCCGCTGGCGCAGGTATCGCGGCGCCCCGCCGAGGTCAACCGGCGGGCCAGGCCCCGGGGCCGAAAGAGGCACGGCGACGTGGCCACCGCGGCGAGGACCCCGCGGCGGCAGCCGGGCCGGGCAAGGCACCGCAGGGCGCCCAGCCCGAGAAGGGGGCCGGCTGGCCCCCGATCACTTGCCGCCGTCGGCCCCGCCGCCCTCGGGCCCCTTCGGGGGCGCCCTTGGCTGCGCGGCTGTTCTCTCCTCCTGCCACTGCCGATTCGCCTTCATGGTCAGAGCCCGCGCCCGGGCCTGGTCGCCGACCCAGAAGTCGAACCCCGGCAGCACCATCCCGCCAGTGTCGTCGACGGCCGTGTCGAGAATGAGCTCGAGGCCTTCGGAAGTCCGGGGCCCGCGGGTTCTTCCGCACGGCGGCCTCCAGCTGCTTGAGCCGTCTGATCCGGTACTCCGCGCCGGCGATGTTGAACAGGTCCACCTGGTCGAACTGCTGCATCATGCGGAGAGACACGCACATCATGTGATGCTCGCGGGCCACGTTCCCGCGCTCGGCGACGCCACTGCGACGGAGCCAAGTCGCGCGGTGCTCCTCCCAGTTGGCCTGGCCACCGTCGCGGAGAGCAAGCACGGCCTCCTTCGCGGCCCTCCTGCCCTGCAGCGGCCAGCCAGGGATCGTCGCCTCCTTCATCCGCCGGACCGAACCCCGAAGTCGATGAAGCCCCCGCCGCCTGGATCCCTCTCGTCGCCCACAATGCGGGGGCCCCGCCCAGCACCACTACGAGCACGCGCGAAAAATAGTTCGAAATTCCCGCCCTCGGGGACCCAGACAGCCTGGAACCAGACGTCGTCCAGCCCGACCAACGTCCCCACGCCGCGCCAGGACCTCCTCGTTGGCCAGGGCCTGCTGCGGCACCTCCTCCCCGAAGTGCGACGAGGTCGGGTCGCTGACATACCACTTGTCGCCCGGCAGCCCGGGCACTCCCTCGACCGCGAAGCCGAGGATCCCGGCGAGCGCCCGAGCCTCCTGCAGGTAGGCCTGCATGTCCTCCGGCGGTGCGTCGTCGAAGGCATAGATGTTCCCCGCATGCCACGGGGGGAAGGGGCCTGACCTCCGCAAGGCGAGGACCCTGAAGCCAGACAGGTCCGCGAAGGCCACCTCCCCATCCGGCGTCAGCCAGATCCACTTCTGGGCGTCCCCGTTCACCAGCAGGACCCAGTGGTGCCACTGGAAGTTCGGGTCCGCATCGAACCCTACGAGGCACTGAAGGAACGGCGTGTCCAACGCACGCGCCATCAGTCACGAGGAGAGCCAGGAGGGCGACGCCTGTTGCCCAGAGTCGCCGGGGTGGCGACCACCACATCCGGCCCCACACCGTCGTCTTCAAGAGCGAGAGCTCGGGCTGGGGACGCACCAGCGCGCACCCCGCTCGCCAGCCTTCAGGCCGACGCGAACCCCACGCCGACGGCCACGCCCACCACGGCCGCGCCGATGAGGTCGAGGCCCGTGTAGTGCCCGAGCGGGAAAGGGCACGAAGGGCAGGGCTGGCACGGCGCGCGCCCTGCAAGTGCTCCGGCCCGCAGCGCGCCAGCTGCTCCCGGAGGATGGCCACCAGGCCGCCGGAGACGCCAGGGCCCTCGAACGCGCAGCGGCAGGTGACCTCCGCGACGGCGTCGCGGCTGGCCCCAGCGCAGCGCTCAGAGAGGGCCCCCAGCACCCATCCCATCCGCCGGCCGCGTGTGCCCAACCGACCATGAACTCCTCACGGCAGAAAGGCTTGAGGAGTCAAGGCAGCGGAAGGGGGAGGAGCAAATGCACAAGCGTTGCGAGCAAATGCCATTATAATGATGGTGTTGATAATGATGAGGAGGATGATGATGATGATGACGACGATGAGGATGATTATGACGATGACGATGATGATGACGAGGTGGATGGTTATGATGACGGAATTGATGATGATGACGATGATAACGATTTGGGTGATCAAAATTATGATCATAATGAGCCTTAAAGAAGATGATGATGACGAGGAGCATGATGCTGATGACGAGAAGGACGATGATGATGATAATGATGATGATGATGAAGGTGAAGATGATGATGGTGGTGCTGATGATGATGATGGTGAGTGTGATGATGATGATGGTGGTGATGATGATGATGATGATGATCATGATGCTGATCATGCTCATGATGACGAGGAGGATGCTAATGATGATGACGGTTATGACGAGGAAGATGACGATACTGATGACGATAATGGTGATGAGAATGAGAATGATGATGATGATGGTGAGGATGATGATGGTGATGGTGGTGATGTTGATGATGATGATGATTTTAATAGCGATGATTGTGATGGTGACGATGAGGATGGAATGATGATCATGGTGATGATGTTGATGATAATGATGAGTGAGCGTATGATGATGATGGTCATGATGGTGATGATGATGAGTATGGGAATGGGACTGAGTATGATGATGGAAATGATGATGACGAGGAGGTTGATGAGGAAGGTTTTGGCTGGCAAGGAGAGTGATGACGATGGTGATAATGATGGTGATGATGGCGATGATGACGGCGATGACGATGATGACGATGAAGATGATGGTGACGATGATGGTAATGACGCGGGGGACGATGTTGATGACGAGAAGGATGATGATGGCGATGATGATGATGATGGTGATGATGATGACGGTTATGACTATGATAATGAGAATGTCGAGGAAGATGATGATGACGACGAGGATGATGTCGTTGAGAATGATGATGATTATGACGAGCAGGATGATGATGACGACGAGGATGATGACGATGATGAAAGTGATGATGGTGATGGTGATAATGGTGATGATGATGGTGATGGTGGCGGTGATGGTGATGATGAAGATGATGATGATCATGATGATGATCATGATATAATGATGGTGACGAGGAGAGTGATGATGATGATGCTGATGACGAGGAGGATGACGATGGTGATGATGACGAGGATGATGGTTACTGTATGATGATGAGGATGATGACGATGATGATGATGATGATGGTGGTGATGATAATTGCAATGGTGATCATGATCATGATCACGAGTATTAGTATGACGATGATGACAAGGATGATGTTGATGATGATCACGAGGATGATGATGATGATGATGCTGACAAAGAGGGTGATGATGACGACGATGATGATGATGGTGATGATGGTGATCATGATGGTGACGATAATAATGATGGTGACGGTCATGATAATAATGATAACAAAGATGATGAGTAGGATGATGACGATGATGATGGTGCTAATGATGATGATGACGAGGAAGAAGATAATGATGATGACGAGGAGGTTATGATGATGGTGATGGTGACAATGGTGATGGTGATGGTGATGATGGTGACGATTGTGATGATGGTGATGATGATGGTGATGATGGTCATGATGATGCTGAAGAAGACGAGTATGAGTATGATGATGGTAATGATCATGACGAGGAGGATGACGAGGAGGATGATGATGACGAAGATGATGATGATGATGACTATGTTGATGGCGGTAGTGGTGATGGTGATGGTGATGGTGATGGTGCTGGTGATGATTGTGATGGTGATGGTGATGATGGTGATGATGAGGATGATAATGAGGATGAAGAGCGGCCATAACCGACGGGCCCAGCTCCGACCAGGTCAGGGTAATGATCAGTCGCCCGCATGGCTGCGGCAACGGCTGCCCTCAGTTGGGCCTCTGAAAGCTGGCCCACATGGCGTATTGCAGCCTTCGGCGTTGTGATGCGTATGGAGCGCCAGCACCCCAACCCTGATCGCAGTCACACGATCGTTTGGGGAAGCGGCGATGTGGTCATCGCTGTCGGCTCTTAGGCCGATACAGAGGAGCGGATTCGATAGGTCCTGGGTGACAACGGAAACGACGGAAGACGGGGCAGGAGAGGCAGTGAGAAAAAGAGTTATTTTTCTATCGGACCTCTGCAGCGCAGTCATCTTCACCAATTCACATTAAAGTCGAGCTGATCGCAGCCAAACAGTCAGCTGACGGACCCGTACACCTGTGTGCGGTGACTAGTCGTCCAGCCGCTGCGATCGTCTTCAAAATTTTCCATTGCCAGGCTGGTTTGAATTGCTTGAGCTGCGACCAGTGGTGATGATTGTGATTATGAGGATCATGCTGATGTTGATCATGATGATTATGATGATGGTGATGGTGATGGCAATGGTGATGATGATGATGACGACGACGACGATGATGATGATGATCATGATGCTGCTGATGATGCTGCTAATGCTGCTGCTGATGATGAGGATCACTAGGAGGAAAAGAGAAGAACAAAACCAAGAAAATAAAGAAAAGAAACGGCAGGAGCAGGAGAATACGGAAGGTGGCAGGCGGCATGTGAACGTGGAGGAGTGGGGGAGGCGGGAGGATTGGAGGCGAGGAGGAAGCGGAGGAGGAGAAGGAGGAAGAAGAGGTAGAGGCAGACAGGAGCCCCCGCCTCGTTCTTCTCGTTGGTGATGGAGGCGCCGGTGCTGGTCGCGTGCGGGTCGTACTTCCTGTGGGGCGCACAGCCGGGGTCCTTGCACGTGTTGGAGGGCACGATGAGGTTGCCGCTCCCCGTGTCGAAGATCACCTGCAGCCGCGGCGGCAGCGGCCAGTGGTGGGGGGGGAAGGGCGAACCGCTGGGGCCAACGATGTATAAAAAACGTGTTGGCGTTGAGATCGAAAACGAAAACAAATCCGAACGTTGGCAACGAAACGTTTGAAACGATACGGGTGCAAACGACGACGAAGACGGAACGATGTCGCCAGTCCGCGAGACAGCAGAACGAGAAACGAAACGAACTCCGCAGACCTCGCCAGTGTGCACAGCGGCGGCTGCGAAGAGAAGCAGCCACTGCCTCGAAGAAGAGAGGCTTATGCAGACAGGAGCGCACGCTGCGAGCACGCACTGGCGACGGGCAAACCTGGGGGGGGCATTTCGGCCGCACAGGCGTACACAAGGGCTCCCAACTTCGCGCTTCGCGCTGCGCGAAGCGCGAACAACTTCGCGCTCTCGCTCCGCCCCCAAAGGGGAGAAGAGGAGGACGAGGAGGAGGGGGAGGAGGAATGAGGCCCGCGAAGCGCGACTAACTTCGCGCCCTCGTGGGAGCCCTCAGAGGGGGATGCTTGGGAGACTGGGAGGGGCACAACGTGCCCGAGGAGTACAGCACCTACCCCATTGGAGGGGCAGAAAGGTCCTGGGCACGCCTGACGAGCTGTCGTCGAGCTCAGGGGATGGAGACGAGGAGCAGAGCAGGGGGGGATGTTCCTTGATCCCCTCGCGCTGTGACAGCCATGAAAGCTGACGCTTGATTTTGATTGCCAATTTCGCTCTTCAAACCATCGCCAATCGCGTCTATCGATCCCTCCTCCGCTCTCCCTCATCCCTTCTGCCTCCTGCGCTCTCCCTCCTCCGCCCACCCTCCCTCCCTCATTTGCTCGTTCATCCCGCATTTATCCTTCTGCTCCTGTTGTCATCTCCCTCCTCCTCCTCCTCCTCCTCCTCCTCCTCCTCCTCCTCCTCCTCCTCCTCCTCCTCCTCCTCCTCCTCCTCCTCCTCCTCCTTCCTCTTCCTCTTCCTCCTCCACCTCCTCCTCCACTTCATGCTCCTCCTCCTCCCCCTCCCCCCCCCCTCCTCCTCCTCTCCTCCTCCTCCTCCTCTCCTCCTCCTCCTCCTCCTCCTCCTCCTCCTCCTCCTCCTCCTCCTCCTCCTCTCAAGCATCCCTCCATCCATCCTTCCTCCGCCGCACGCCCGACCTTGAAAGGCTGCGGCGGGGTCCCCAGCGACATCTGGCCCCAGTACGCCGTCTTGTGCACCACGCGCGCCTCCTCAGCGGCGTGGCTGCCAGAGCCTCGGGGCGCACGTCAAATCTCTCTGCTACGCCGCTGGGTTTCGGCGGCCCGAGGGGGGGGGCAGGAAGCCGTCGCCGTCGTCGCCTGCCGTAGTCGGCCAGGGGGGCAGACGGCGATTACGAGGATAAGGAGTAGGAGGATAAGGAGGAGGAGGACGAGAAGGAGGAGGAGGGAGGAGGACCAATATAAACCCAAGACCCATCAACGATGTTGAAGTAACCCCCCCTTCCAAGATCCCTCTTCAGAAGGTTCAATCATGCCACCCGTCTGGGCGCAGGTGCACTAGAGAGCGTTCTCTTCCAACCCCCTTCTTCCCCTTCTGGAGGGGGGCTCCCCCTCCCCCTACCCCGTCCCTGGACCTGTACGGGGGGGCTCGCGACGCGGTGGAGCGTCCAACATGGCCCAAAAAGAGCGCCTCGGAGAGACCATACTATTCTCCAAAATGGCTCAACCTAACCCAAGATATCCCAAGCTCCAAGCGGCCCCAAGCACGCCCCAGGACAACCGCCAAGAGGCCAAAATCGGTCCCAAGCCACAAGAAATCAATGTTTGGTGTGTTCTCGCCTTTCCGTTTCCGATGGCCCTCCGAGGCCTCAATATGGTTCCAGATGTCCTAGGAGGGCTCCAAGAGAGGCCCAGGATCCCGCCAAGACGGCCCCATGAGCGCCCAAGAGCGCTCCATCGGGGCCCAAGAGGCGTAGCTAGGGCTCCCGATGGGGGGCGTCGTAGCTGGAGCTCCCTCCTGTTTTGATCGATCTCTTCCAAAATGGCCCCAAGAGCGCTCCCAAGGCTCCCAAGAGCACCCCAAGAGAGCCCCAAAAGGCGCCTAGGAGGCCCCAAGCGGCGTCCAAGAGGCGTCCAAGAGGCTCCCAAGAGACCCCCAAGAGGCTCCTCGCGGCACCCAAGACAATCTAAGAGGAACCATGCCTCTGCGTGCTGCCCACTTCCCTGATCGAGGCAACTCCTCTAGGCATCGCCTCTGGGTGGGCTGGTGGGGTTACGCGAAGCGTCAATGTTCTGGCGGATATGTTATCATTATTCTCAGTTGCAACGGGAACGGGAACTCACCGATATCATCATTATGTTCTCCTTACTCTCATTTGGAAACTCACAGGAATCATTCGTACCTTCTTTGTCTAAAGATAAGCATGATAAAATCTCACGGCGTCTCGCTGGGATGGTGGTCCCAAAACGTAATATGATTGTGTAACGTTGTGATCTCTGTTTTTGCGTTCAACTGAAAATTGTCAGATTGCATTAATTGTACATGTCTCAATCTGAAATTCTAGATAAACAGAAAGAAAGACTAAACGGAAGCAGGCAACAACCATGCTCATGCCCATGGTTGTCGCTGCCACCCTTGGGTGGCAACCCTTCCCTGCCGAAGGATGTCGCTAGCCCCCCTTTCTCTTTTTTTAGTTCGCACAGCGCATATGCGATGTCAGAGTCTCAGGAGGAGGCAAGTCGCGCCGCCGCCATAGCTCCTACGCCCCGCCACCACGGGCCACAGAGGGATCAGCATTCACCACTTGCCTTTCCAGGCAGCGCCCCATTATCCATCCCGGCCGCTCAATTTTCCACCTCTGCCGCGATCGTCGCGTGGCTCGCCGCTACATCCTTTTCCTGGAGAATAAACCTCTCGCATGGGCACTGGTCTTCGACATGGATGGTGGAGGCTGGCATGTTTCCCGAAGTGTGCTGTCACGTGCGCAGGCGCACCTGACACACTCTGCACGTGCCCCGAACGTGGCGCACCTGCCGCGGCTGTAGTATGCGGCACACCTGGCGCACGCTGAAGCATGTGGTGCATTTGGCGCACCAGGCGTGCCTGGCACGCTCGGACCCCAGGAGTGCCTGGCGCGCGTGGCGCGCCTGGCACGCGTGGCGCACCTCGCCCCAGCGTTGCGCACATGGGCTCGGCTTTAGCTCCCAGTAGCTGTCCATCCAAAAACGACCGCTGAACTTACTGAGGCTCGGGTGTTACGTACGTGTTGGGAGGGCAGGCGGGAGCGAGCTAGACGGCTTGGTATCTAGGAGAATGTCTTGACGCTTCCCCCTACCCCCTCCCCTGGACGTGAACGGGGGGGTTCGCGAGCGGTCGGAACGTCCAAGATGGCGAGAGGTGATCTGGAGAGATTATGCGCGGCCAACCCGCGATCATTGTCAAGAGGTTTTTGACAGGGACGGCGGGGGTGGTGGCGTATGGCCTGCTGTGCGCAGGCCCGCCAAACACAATGATGGGCACTGGTTTTCGACGTGGATGTTGGAGGCCGGCATGTTTCCCGAAGTGTGCTGTCACGTGCGCAGGCACACCTGACACACTCTGCACGTGCCCCGAACGTGGCGCAACTGGCGCGGCTGTAGTATGCGGCACACCTGGCGCACGCGGAAGCACGTGGCGCATCTGGCGCACCAGGCCTGCCTGGCACGCTCGGGCCGCAGGGGTGCCTGGCGCGCGTGGCGCGCCTGGCACGCGTGGCGCGCCTCGCCCCAGCGTCGCGCACATGGGCTCGGCTCTGGTTCCCAGCAGCCGTCCATCCAAAGACTACCGCTGAACATGCTGAGGCTCGGGAATTACTTGTGTTGGGAGGGCGGGTGGAAGTGAAATAGGCGGCGTGCTATCTGGAGGATGCCTTGATGACTGTTCCCTATTAACATACACCGCCTCCCCCAGGCGACCAGCAGCCAACCAGGAACAATGATAGTCCCATGAGGCCCCCCCCCCACCATCCCCGTCCAAAAACAATACCAAGTACACGTTGGGGCTCAGTCCAGAGTCACGTTCGTGAGGCCCACGAGCACGGTGTAGTTGTTTGACACGGACGGCGGGGGCGTCAACATATTGCCTGCTGTGTGTATGGCCTGCTGTGCGCAGGCCCACCAGACACAATGATGGGCACTGGTTTTCGATAAGGACAGTGGGTATTGACATGTTTCCCGATGCGTGCTGTCACGTGCGCAGGCGCACCTGACACACTCTGCACGTGCCCCGAACGTGGCGCAACTGGCGCGGCTGTAGTATGCGGCACGCCTGGCGCACGCGGAGGCACGTGGCGCATCTGGCGCACCAGGCGTGCCTGGCACGCTCTGGCCCCAGGGGTGCCTGGCGCGCGTGGCGCGCCTGGCTCCCAGTAGTTGTCCATCCAAAGACGACCGCTGAACATGCTCAGGCTCGGGTGTTACTAATGTGTTGGGAGGGCGGGTGGGAGAGAGCTAGACAGCTTGCTATCTAGGAGGGTGTCTTGGTCACTGTTCCTTATACACCCCCTCCCCTTCCTGGCCGGCGTCCAACCAGGAACCATGCCCACACCATGAGGGCCCGCCCCCCACCATCCCTGTCAAAAAACCATACAAACCGCACTCTGCCTCCACCTTTGGAGCATGCGCGGCCAACCCGATGGGCCCCCCCCACCACCACCATCCCTGTCAAAAAACAATGCAGAGTACACTTTGGGGCAAAGTCTTGAGTCATGTTCGTGAGACCCGCGAACACTTTGCAGTGTTTTTGACAAGGACGGCGGGGGAGCCAGCATATTCCCTGCCGTGCGCAGGGCGACCACCCCTGAAAAAAAACAATACAACATGCACCTCGCGGCTAAATATGGATCATGCGCGGCCATCCCGCTTTCACTGTCAAGTGGTTTTTGACAGGGGCGGTGGGGGTGGTGGCGCGTGGCCTGCTGTGCGCAGGCCAACCAGACACCCAGACACAATGATGGGCACTGGTTTTCGATAAGGACGGCGGGGACCGACATGTTTCCCGATGCGTGCTGTCACGTGCGCAGGCGCACCTGACACACTCTGCACGTGCCCCGAACGTGGCGCAACTGGCGCGGCTGGAGTATGCGGCACACCTGGCGCACTCGGAGCACGTGGCGCATCTGGCGCACCAGGCCTGCCTGGCACGCTCGGGCCCCAGGGGTGCCTGGCGCGCGTGGCGCGCCTGGCACGCGTGGCGCACCCCCAGCGTCGCGCACATGGGCTCGGCTTTGGTTCCCAGCAGCTGTCCATCCAAAGACGACCGCTGAACATGCTCAGGCTCGGGTGTCACTTACGTGGTGGGAGGTTGGGTGAGAGTGAGCTAGACGGCTTGCGGGCGGGTGGGTAGCTTGACCCCCCTCTACCCCCTCCCCTGGACCTGAACGGGGGGGTTCGCGAGCGGTCGGAGCGTCCAAAATGGCGAGGTGATCCAGAGAATCCGGCCAAAGAGGTCCAATCCGGAATCGGGAATCTGGAATCTGGAATGCTGCTGAGGCCTGCCAACCAACCGAATCCAGAATCGAGAATCCAAAATCTGGAATCCCGAATGCTGCTGAGGCCTGGCGCTCGGGATGAGAGGGATGGTGAAAAGGTAGGAGCTCCAATCCGGAATCCGGAATCCGGAATCCGCAACGTTGCTGAGGCCTGGCTCTGGAATGAAGCTGATCCTGCAAGCCAGCCGAATCCGAATCCGGAATCCGGAATCTGCTGGGGATGAGAGAAATGAAGAAGAAGGAGCCGGAATGCCGAATCGGGAATCCGGAATGCTGCTGAGGCCTGTCGCTGAGATGGAGCTGAGCCTGCCAGCCAGCCGAATCTGGAATCTGGAATCCAGAATCTGGAAGGCTGCTGAGACATTGGCGCAGGGGATGCGAGAGATGAGGAGGGATGAGCTCCAATCTGGATTTCGGAATCCGGAATCTGGATTGCTGGTGAGGCTTGGCTCTGGGAGGCCGAATCCGGAATCCGGAATCCAGAATCCGGACTGCTACTGCGCTGGCGTAAGTGATGAGAGAAATGAAGAGGAATGAGCTCCGATCCGGAGTCCGGAATGTTGCCGAGGCCCCGCTCGGAACTTTCGCGCGGGCTTCCAGGCACGACCGCCCGTTCCCCAAGGGGTCAGCAGTGTGGCGTAAGCCCAAGATCTTCATGTAGGACCCCCCTCTCGTTGAACCATGGGGACCAAGGCGCGACACGTCTGAGGCAACAGGCAACGAGGGACACATCCAGGCCAGCAGACAACCACTGACACATCGGGAGAAACAAGCAACCAGCGACTGTGGGACGGCGGAATGGCGAAAGCCACTGCGACGTTGCTCTGTCCAGCTCGTATATACACGGGGTGTGATGAAAAGCTAAACACTTCCCATCTCCATGCCTCGTCCTTGGAGCGTTTGCCAAATGTCGCTTCAGCAAATACGGTTTCACAAAGATTTGAGAATATGCGGGACACTGGTTCATCCGAGGCGGATCATCAACGAGCCTCCTGTAGTGGCTCGTCTGCTTCAAAAAACTTGAGCTGACAAGGCCCCTTTCCACAAGTCGAGTCTCGATAGTGGTACCTCTGGGCATCCCCTGCTGAAGACGATGGTGAAGCGGTGAAGCGCGATGACGGCGTGGTTGGAGGGAACATTTGTAAATCTCTTCCACGCATACTCCTAAATTCTTCTGCGCTCGCCAGATACGTCCGAATGAACATACATACCCTAAGAAGCCTGGGTATGGCCCACAAGCGCCTCCACAATGGCCCTTCTGTTCCCACCACACTCCTCCCTCCTACCTCCGATTGCTGTCCCAATAACAATCCTTCATGCGTGTCCTACGCGAATATAGTGGAGCCGGTCGGGCGCCAATCGCAAACGGACGAAATCGCCCAACCCCCCAACTGAAGTATCACCTGAAGGGCGGCCTCCGAAGTACAGGGTCGTTTCCTTTCTCCTCGCTCTCCCCTCCCCCTTTTATTCCCAATCCGCGTGTGTTGTTGGCTCCTCGTTTTCTCCGCACCGCCGCGCGCCTCCTCCTCCTCCTGCTGCCCCCTCCCCCGTCTTCCCCCCCCCCTCCCCCATACCCCCCCCTCCTCCCTCTTCTCACCCTCCATACTCTCCTTCCCCTGCTTGTCCTCCTCCTCGTTTCCCCCCGCCCTCGCCCACTCCGATCCGCTCCAGCACGCCTCTCGCGCAACTCATCGCCCCATGAAAAGCTCCATGCGTGGCCCCGGTGGCCAACACGCGCCCAACCTGAGTGGATCCGCATGAGCAAAACTCTTTTCTCGGAGTCTTCGTGCCCATGAGGGTGAACACGCAGGCAAGGCATTGAAGCATAGTGCACCTCTTTCTGGGTTCGGCCCTCTCGGTGCGGGGGGGACGGCGACCTGTTTTTGTTTTCCTGGTTCACCGCGCAACAGTTCGACTCGCCACATGCGCGCAGATCGAATCACCAGCCGACGCGGGGGGCTCCGCGAGCGGTCGGAGCGTCCAAGATGGCCCAAGACGGTTGCAAGAGGGCCCCTGAAAGTCCAAGATGAGCTCCAAGATGGCTCCAGATAGCGCACGATGCCTCAAGATGGCTTCCAAGATGCTCCAAGAGGCCCCAAGAACGTTACAAGATGGTTCCAAGAGGCGCCCGAGACCTCCAAGGAGGCCCCCAAGAAGCCAAACTTCGACAGAACCTAAAGAATACCGATGATTGTTGTTTTCTCGCCTTTTCGCTTCCGATGGCCATCCGAGGCCTCAAGATGGCCCCAAGATGGCCCAAGAGAGCCCCAGGAAAGGCCCAAGAGAGCCCCGAGACGGCCCCCAGAGCGCCCCAAGAGCGCTCCAACAGGGGTCCAGGATGCGATTTTCGCTGTTCCCGAGGGGAGGGCTACTTGAAGCTCCCCTCTTTATTTATCGATGCCCTCCACGATGGCACCAAAAGTGACCCAAAAGCTCCCAAAAGCAGCCCAGGAGGGTCCCAAGAGGAGCCCAAAAAACCCCAAGAGGCGCCCAAGAGGCCTCAAAAGGACCTCCTTTTCCTCCTCCTCCTCCTCCTCCTCCTCCTCCTCCGACGACGACGACGACGACGACGACGACGACGACGACGACGACGACAACGACGACGATTACTCCTCCATCCTCCCCCTCTTGGGAATTATGACGTTTTCCCCCGCCCTTCGTTCTTCTGCATGCTCCACACTTACCTGATCACCTCAACTCCCCTGGGCAACGTTTGTGGATGGGTTGGTGGGGACGCACGAAACGTCAAAAGTTCGTATATACAAATATAACTGTATATATGTATCATATACGTTTATACATATATATATATATATGTATGTATGTATGTGCGTTTGTGTGTATATTTGTTTTATTTATATACATATATATATATGTGTGTATTGTCGCCCTCCTACTATATTCAACCGAACACTAGTTGCGACTGGTGCAAAAACAATGGCAACTTCTCGAGGGAGGACCCCCGAGAACGGTCCTCCGCTGAGAGAGAGAGAGAGCGCAACAACAAAAAGGAGAAAGAGAGAGAGAGAAGGGACGAGAGGGAGAGAGAAACAGAGAGAGAGAGAAGGAGCGACAGAGAGACAGAGAGAAAGACAGAGAGAGAGAGAGAAAGACAGAGAGAAAACGAGAAACAAAAAACGCCCGGGAACCGGAGGCCATCTTGACCTTCGCGAACAGCAGCGATTCGTGGCGGAGCGCCGTCCTGTGGGGGCGAGAAGCGCCGCGGGCCGCGCCGGGGACAAGGAGGAGGACGAGAAGGAGGAGAACGAGGACGACGAGGAGGAGGGCGAGGACGACGAAGAGGACGAGAGGGGGAGAGAAGGAACAAAACGACGAGGAGGATAGGGACGAAGAGGACGACAAGGAGGACGAGGAGGAGGAGAAGGAGGAGGAGGAGGAGCGAGCGTCCCAAAAAGAAAGGTGCCACCTCACGCACCCGCCCCGCGCGCGCCCGCCTCGGAGCCTCTCGAGGCCTCGGTGCCGACGTCCACGTGGTCGCTGGTGTAATTAGGTGAAATTGCATGTGTAATTTAACCGCCCCTGTTCAGGTCGTCGGTCTCCTGGGCCTCTCCTTACCAGTCGGTGGCACCTGGTGCACTTCGCCTACTCTGCACCTTCTGGCCGCCTGATGCCCCGCCCGCCCGCGCCCTGTCTCCCCAATTAGGGCTTCGCGCGCCCCGCCTAGCTCTTCACCGGAAGGGGCCCGCTCTCGACCCGCCGACCAAAAACTGTTCAGGCAGTCGGTCCAGCCGTCGACACCGACGATTACCAGCCTCGAACGTATCCCTGTCCCTAAGATTGGCACGCCAAACAGCGATGACAATCTTAGGGATTCGCCCTCAAAAAAAAAGAGAATCCCTAAGATTGGCATCGTGATGAGGAGGTGCCCAGCATAGGGAGAGGGATCTGTTCCAGGCTGGTAAGGCGGTCGGAGGTGCCGTCGAGAGACGGGCGCGAGCAGATGGCCGCCCTCGTGGGCGGCGGCGTCGGAGGTCCAGCCGTGCACGTCGAGCGTGGGCGCCTGGGGGGCTGAAGCAGGGCACCCGGGAGGACGCTGCGGCACGCGACGACAAAGCAGCCGAAGGACAGGAGCCCGACGAACGGGGAGACTCCAGATTGAAGGGGCCCCCAGACACACAAATAAATACACACAAATAAAAGGATCCCCCATATTTTCCCATGTTTTCTGGGTTTTTGTCTTCCCCCCCACTTCCCATGTTTTCACATATTCTCTGGGGAATCGAGGATTAATTGTGTCTGCGTGTTTCTTTCCCTCCTGACAGATGAAGTCGCTGTTGGGGCCACTCTTGATGCACAGGCTGCCCGGCTGCGCCAGTAGTCGCCGAGGTCCAGCGTAGGGGAACGCAGCGAACACGACCTCTGCCTACAGGAATCCACATACGAGCATCCTGGAGCTCACAGTCCTGGCACTCCGTCTCGCTATACAGGTCGAGCAGTTCATCTTCGCAGCTCTTGCACTCGAGCTCGCCGCGACGGCCATCTGACTCGCAGTCCTCGAAATCAAGCGCCAGACCACCAGCTGGAGCGACAGCCCGATCACAGTCAGCAGCGGCAGCACAAGCGAAAATGCAAGGAGCGATATGACCAGCCGCCCGCAGATGCCTTTGAGCCTCCGCAAGAGCGAGCGAGCCTTCAATGTCTAGTACTACCACAATCAAGCGCACGTGCCCTGCATTGATCGCCTCAGGCGCCAGCGTGGATACATGGCTAAAACGACAGGCGCTGCCGCGGGCGCATTCAGGAGAGAACCGGCACGCCGACTCAGTGCGGACGCGCGGCCCGCCATCCAGCGCCTTCACGCAAAAGAAATCGAGACTCTGGGCCGCACCCCCTCAAACGTCTTGAACGAGAGGACGGAAACCAGAACCAGCCGAAACACGACCATGAAATTCAGCGCACTCCTGGCGTGGAGGATCAGGCTCAGGATGACGGAGATCACGAACGCGAGGGTCACCCGCTGGATGTCGAGAAGCATCGTCACCGCGAGAATCATCACAGATGTAGGGTCCGTGGGCAACACCACCAGAAACGTCTTGAACGATCGCATGGACATCAGAACCAGTCAGAGCAATAACATCAGCTTCATCACGCACATGGCGTGGAGGGTCTGTCTCAGGAGGTCGGACCTCAGGAACGCGAGCAGCACCCGCAGGGCGACGGCGACGGCGCCTAGGGCGTCGGCGGTGTCCAGGCAGGTCGCCCGGGCGCGCAGGAAAACAAAACCAAATATCAGGTGGGCCCAACGCCTGCGGCGTGCGGGCAGCAGCAGCATCCTCAAGGCCACCAGATGGCCGAGAGCTCCCAATAGCCAGAATCGGCAGAAAGAACGGGGTAGCCGAAGCACGAAGATTTGACATGTCATCAGTTTGCGTCGAGCTCGAAATCAGACTGGCGGTCTGAGTGGACGTAGTAGCCAAAGAGCCCCGCGCACGAGAGTACCGTTGAGGACGAGAGAAGAAGACCAGCCAGCAGCGGCGGAACTGCCCATGCTTGGCCGCGTTCGCCGCGGATTTGACCTTGCAGCAGCACCAGTACAGACGCGGCCATAGGTATGCCTCCGTCGCACGGAGAGCAGCGCTGGTGGACCCGAATTCGGTATCGAACCACACGACGATCACCAGCTGCAAAGAGACCTGCACGGCGACCAGACCGAGGCGGACCAGGAGAGCGATGAACATGAACGAGAGCCGGCCGACATGGCGCGCGCGCGGCCCACAGTAGCGCATCAGGCAAGCCTGGCTTGAGCCAAAATGGCTACGGATGATGATGATGAGGAGGAGGAGGAGGAGGAGGAGGTGGAGGAGGAGGAGGACGGGGAGGAGGGGGAGCAGAAGGGGGGGGAGGAGGAATCACTATTCCTCTCCCCCGGCTTTTACGCCCCTTCAGCTTAAGAAGAAGTCTGCATTCCGCCCGATCCTTCCCTGGCGAGGGCCAGGGAGGTAGGGGGGCAGCAAGCGCCGCAGCCACACGGAGAGAACTGATGGTCCACATCCTCCTCCCTCCTTCTTCCTCGTGACACTCCTCCTCCTGTTCCTCCTCCTCCTCCTCTTCTACCGTGTCTCCCGCGCCGACTTGTTCCGAACGACTTCTTCCGGACCACTTCCTCCAAACAACTTCTTCCGGGCCACTTCTTCCGAGGACAAATTCTTCCGCAACGACTTTCCGAACCACTTCTTCTGCACGATTTCTTCCGGACGACTTCTTCCGAACGATTCCTTTCGAGCGACTTCGCCTGAAAATTTCTCCCCCGCTTCGTCGTTCATCCTCCACCTCATCCTCCCACTCCTGGTCCTCCTCCTCCTTTTCCCTCGATCTGCTCGCGACGGTCTCTTCCTAGGACGGTCTCTTCCTAAAACGGTTTCTTCCGCGACGACCTCTTCCGAACGACTTTTTCCGGACGACTTCATCCGAACGACTTCTTCTGGGCCAATTCTTCCGGACCAGTTCTTCCAAACGACGTCTTCCAAACGACTTCTTCCGGACAATTTCTTCCGAGACGACTTCGTCCGGACGAGTTCTTCAGGGCCACCTCTTCCGGACCATTTCTTCCGGACGACTTGTTCCGAACCATTTCTTCCAGACGACTGCTTCTGACCAACTCCTTCCGAACGACTTTTGCTGAACAGCGTCTTCCGGGCTGCTGCTTCCCCTCCTCCTCCTCCTCCTCCTCCGCCTCGTCCTCCGCGTCCTTCTCCTCCTCCTCCTCCTCCTCCTCCTCCTCCTCCTCCGCGACCTGGTCCTCCTCCGCACCCACGGTCCCGCACCTCCATCATCCCACACGTCCTCTCCGAAGATGGTCCCAAGGTGGCCCAAGGGAGCCCCGAGAGAAGCCCGAGAGGCCTCCTGGACGGCCTCAAGACTGGCCCAGGCGCGGCGGAAGAGCGTCCGAAGAGCGCCCCAGGAGGAACCCAGGACGCCCTTTGAGTCTCCGAGGGGAGGGACGCTGAATTTCCATCGCCGCGTTTTTCAGCAACTGCGGCCAAGACGGCCCCAAGAGACCTCTCAGACCCGCCCAGAAACTCCAAAAGGAGCCCCAAGACAGACCCAAAAGAGCCCCAGGAGAGCCCGAAGAGAGCCCCAATATTGCTCCAAAAGGAAAGCCTATCGTTTCTTCCGGGCGACTTCTTCCGAAACGACTTCTTCCGAGGCGACTTCTTCCGGACGATTTCTTCCAGAGGAGATATTCCTGGCGATTTGTTTCCGAAATCATATTCTTCCGAGGCGACCTCTTCCGGGCGGCTTCTTCTGGAAAAGTTCTTCGGGACGACTTCTTCCGATGATGACTTCTTCCGGGGCGACTTATTCTGGGCGAATTCTTCTAAAGAGTTCTGTTGGGCGGCTTCTTCCGATGGTAACTTATTTTGGGGCGACTTCGTCTGGGCCCCCTCGTCCAGCCGATTTTGTCTGCACGATTTTTTTCGAGGGTGTTCTGCCGATGCGATTTCGTCTGGCCCCCTCCTCCCACCTCCTCCACCTCCTAGCTTTTCCTCCCCCTCCCTTCTTCCTCCTCCTCCTGCCTCTTGCCTCCTCTCCCTTCTCCTCCCTCGTCCCTCCTGCGTCCTCCCTCCTCCCTTCTTTCACCTCCTCCTCCTGCCCCCTCCGCCCTTTTCCCTCCTGCCTCTTCCCTCCCTCCCCCCTCCGTCCTCTTTCCTCTCTCATTTTCCCTCCTCCCTCGTCCCTCTACTCGGCAAGCGGCAAAACCTGCGGGCCCGAAACTGAAACTATTTCAGTGCACTCGCCACGTGGCAAACGCCTTTGGGGCGAACAAATATGCTACTCACTCCACTCTCCTCGCGACGTGGCAACGCCTGCGGAACTGACACAAATACTATTTCGCGCGAGATGCTGGGTGGAAGCGACTGGGGAGCGAAACACAAAGTGTTCCACTACACGACTCGCCGCGTGGCAACGCCTGCGAGGCGGAACACTATTTTTTCACTCCCCTCGCCACATCGGGGGAGCGAAACAACTACTGCTCCACTGTTCCTGCCAAGAGGCAGCGCTCCGAGGGGGGAACTCATACCATTCCGCTGCACTCACAGCGTGGCTGCTCGCGGAGCGAAACAAAAAATACTCCACTCTACTCGGCACGTGGCAACGAAGCGGGGCAGCACGAAATGCTGTTCCTCTCTACTCGCCGCATGGCAACGCCATGTGGCAAGGCCTGAGAGGCAAACAACAATACTACCCCACTCCACTCGCCACGCGGCAACGACATGGGGAGTGAACGAAAACTAAACATACACTCCATTCATCGCTTGGCAATGCCGCGCGAACCGAACATGCTGTACAAGCCCACTCTAATCGCCACGTGGCAGCGTTTGGGGGGAGGCGAAAATACACATTCCATTATATTCGCCACGTGGCAACGCCGCGGGGCTGGAACATCTGGAGCGCCAATCCGTTTGGAACGGGGCAACGACAGGCCGGCGAACAAAACGCAAGTCAATGTGCGCAATGTTTCCAAAACGCACACGTTCGTTGCATTCGACGTGGCAACGCCGCGGAGGCGAACACCAATCTCTACTCGGCACGGGGCTCCAACATGGACGAAGACGACGATGACGACGACAACGACAATGACGACAACGGACGACGACGACGACGACGACGACGACGACAACGGACGACGGGCGACGATGACAACGACGACGACAATGACAACGACAATGACAAAGACAATGACAACGACAATGACAAAGACGACGGCGTTGCCGACGACGACGATGATGATAGTGATGATGACGATTATGACGATGATGATGTTGCTGGTGATGATGATGATGATGATGGTGATGATGATGATGATGATGGTGATGATGATGATGATGATGATGATGATGATGATGATCCTGATCCTGATCCTGATCCTGATCCTGATCCTGATCCTGATGACAACCGCGCCGCCACCGCGGCCGCCGCCGCCGCCGCCCGCCAGCCTGCCCGCCCGCCCGCAAGCCCGCCCGCACGTTCGCCCGCCCGCCCGCGCGCGCGCGCCCGCTCGCGCACGCCACGTGGCTACGCCGGGGGAACGAAACAAATGCTGATCTAGCCTCCTTGCCACGTGGCAACGTGGCAACGCTCGACGGGCGGAAAATAGTACTCCATTGCACTTGCCACGTGGCGGCGCCTGAGCACGTGGCAGCGAAACGGACTGGGAACCCCTGCAATTTCAATATTTTCGCCACGCGGCAACGCCGTGTGGCAAGACCAGAGAGACAAACAACAATACTATCCAGTTCCACTCGCAACGTGGCAACGGAGCGAACAATCAGTAAACGTACGCTCAACTCATCACGCGGCAACGCAACGCGGACCGAACAGACTGCACAAGCCCACTCGACTCGCCACGTGGCAGCGTTTGGGGGCCGAAAATACGGATTCCATGCTATTCGCCACGTGGCACCGCCGCGGGGCGGGAACGCATGGAGCGCCACTCCGCTCGCAGCGGGGCCGCGACAGGCCAAGGAACACAGTGCAATGCAATTTTGCGCGCACTGTTGCCACAGCAGCGCCGCGGTCGCGACCGCCAAACTCCACTCGGCACGCGGTTCCAACGCCGACGAAGACGACGACGATGACGACGACGACGACATCCGACGAGAAGGACGACGGCGCACGACGGCGACAACGACGGACGACGACGACGACAACGACAATGGCAATGACAGCGACAATGAAGACATCGACGACGACGACGGCAACGACGACGATGACGCTGCTGCTGGCGACGATGAGGACGCCGCCGCCGCCGCCGCCGCTGCGGGCCCGCCCCCCCGCGCGCCCGCCAGCCCGCCCGCCCGCCCGCCCGCCCGCCCGCGCGCGCGCCCGCTCGCGCCACGTGGCTCCGCCGGGGGAGCGGAACATACGCTGCTCCACCCCCCGTGCGTCGCGGCGACGCTCGGAAAGGGGGCCAGAAATGCCCCGCTGTACTGAGAGCAGGGCGATCGCACCAGTGGGCCCACCAGCCCACGCCAGCGCCCGCACTCTGAGTCGGGGCGCCCCCTGGAGACGCGCGCGCATCAAAGGGTAGCGCACAGCGAAGTGAGAGGCGGGGCTACGCAGACGTCGCCACCGGCCAGGCCTGCGCCGTCGCGCGAGCACACCCCCCCCCCCGCGACGCGCAGACACGCACGGCGGAAGCAGGCAGACTATGGGAGCTCGACAACAGGTGCCCTGAAAGCTCAACTGCCCAGAGGGCGCCCAAAGGCGGAGCGCCGACAGGACCTGGCAGGGGCGAAAGAAAGAAGCAACATCACAGAGAGAGAGAGCAATTATAGAGAGAGGCGGTCGCAGAGAAGCGCCACGATGTGCACCCGCGGGAAAAAGACTTGTTCACGCGCAACTCACGCAATAAAAGAACAGGATGCGCACCTGACGACAACGACCGAGACAGATGGCAAGACTGCGCGATTGCTCGAGAGAAGGAACCTGTCGACGCGCACCTGCGGGGGGGCGGACCCCCCCCATTCGACCCGAGGGGGGCGCTCCAATATAGAGAAATGGCATGCGCCACAAGCGCGGGCCGATTGGCGGGAACAACGCAAACGCAGCGAGTTCGACCACTGGGGCCCTCAGGGCCCATCTGCCCTGAGCGGGGGCGGGGGCGCCGAGAGCACCGCCGCCGCCCCGACGCGGGACGGCGCGAGAAGGAAAAGGAGAAGGAGGGCGGGGATAAAGGAAGGACGAGCGGGCCCCGCGATCAACGGGCAAGCACCCCGAAGGACGCGAGCCTTCACGCGGGTCGAACGCTGGC